GGCGAACCAGGATTCAACCCACAATCACAGGTTTCTGGCGTGCCAAAGGGACACAACTCTGCACAGCGACTTGCGGTGCCTTAGACAACTGGGCTACTGATAACCCCTAAATCAATAAGAACAACCAACATGTACAATACAACAGATGACTGCTTTTGACGGCAACAGATCACAGCAGAATCAACATCGTCATAATTGCTCTCCCCAACAAACAATCTTCGTCTCAGCTGGGACCAAGATACATTGAAGCCGAACGTATGTGGAAACAACGTATAAAGAAAATACAATGCTGTGACTCTCTGAGGAAATACAGTGTAATATGCAATATTCGCATCAAATGGTGACATCGATAAATATTGCCGCCACAGGACTTCATTCAACAGACAGAACAACTCACTTTTATCATTTGATGGGGGAGCTGTTTGAATCGTATTGGCATTAAGATTATGCTGTTGAAAAAGTGACATTAATGAAAGTTTTTTCAACAGCATAATCTTAATGCCACCACTGAGATGTGCCTGTCACTTCTAATATTTGACAAACCAAAGTGCTAGCTTGAAATGGAAAGTAATTGTGGCTTTCATTACCTTTTATCGAAAACATTACAGGGACATTGTGACTGTTTCATCATCCAATCCTGCTCACACTTACAGAGTTCCTGTGAAATGAAAGATTCACATTTTTTACCCAGTGATGAAAATCCCGAACAAAGTGGATATATATTATACACAAGAGAATAATGGTAATATGAGAAATGCTGCAATAAATAATTAATTGGTTTTTTTTTTATTTTCCAGAGTGATCTTATTTTTACTCTACAGGTATTTGGTTGGATAAAAAACCTGTAAAAAATATTAATAAATTTGTCATGCCATAGAATGTGTCTTCATGTTTATATTGCATGAATTCAGTTAACGTCATCAAATATTTAATAACAACTTCATATCTGAAAACACATAATATTAAAGCTGAAGAGGTGACAACAGAGTCCTGAGTGAGTGAGTGAGTGGGTGAGTGGGTGAGTGAGTGAGTGAGTGAGTGAGTGAGTGAGTGAGTGAGTGAGTGAGAATGCTCAGAAATATTCCAGCTATAAGATGGCTGCATGAAAAAAAATCAAGTCCGGACCTGACAATCCAGAGACCAATATTATGAATAACGATCCATGCCAAGTTATATACAATCAACCAAGTCACAGTGAGTGAGTGAGTGAGTGAGTGAGTGAGCACGGCCGGTGTGAGGTCAGGGACAGGTGTTAGGTAAATACCTCATGTTATACAGATGATGCACACCAGATGTTTCCAGTTGTGGTCAATGAGCAGTTGAACTAATCTGATAGTTCCATATGCCGTGTGTAAGAGAGATGAGTGAGTTTGTGGGCGGGTTTATGAGTCATCATATTGGAGGAGTGATCAAATGGGTGGGAGGAATAGATCAAAAGAGTGACTGATCAAATGAATTAATGGTTGATTAAGTGAGTGAGTGAGTGAAACTTGACTTTTTTATCAATATGCAAACCATAATTCATGGCATTACATGGACATGACACGCAACGATCTTAGCGCTAAGATGATTGTAACTCCCATACTTTAATATAGAGTGAGGACAATGGTAATGCTCGGGCCACCAAGAGGAGGCTTCACACAGTTTGCCAGTGGGAATTGACCCCAGGCTTTCTGCATGCTTCATCCACTAGACTACCACTCAACAACAAACCATAACCAACACATCCCCAAAACACTAATTTATATATATATTAAATATATTTGGCTGTGATTAACCATCAAACAATGATGAGTGAGTGAGTGAGTTGTGTTTAATGCCCCTTTTAACAGTATTCCAGTTATATCGCGGCGTGTGGAAGGAAAGCCCGAAGTGATGCAGGTCTCAGACGTTTATCACTTCGGTGAAACCCACGAGCATGGGTATGGTGCTGACAAACCTAGAAACATAATCGGGGCGAAGCAGGAACCGCCTTTGACGACTGGGCCACCCGTGCCCCCCAAACAATGATGAGGCCTTGTACTCCCACACACACACACGCACACACATGCACACGTACACACACACACACTGCTATATACAGTACAATAATCTTTAACACAACCATAAACCCCATTTCACCATTTTTTGCTCTTAGATACAGTGATAATCAAACACAAAGTCTTTTTGCATAACCTTGTCTTTCAATGCAAACATATTTACATGTGATACTTCACCACTAGACTAAAATCTAGTCTCTGAAATGACCATATTTTACAGATACAAACAGTTGTTAAATTATAGTTATAAATATATAATAAAAAGAAGCCCAGAGACTCTCTTCATTTTCAGAATGCTGATACTGCAGTAATCTAGACTTGCCAAATATTATAGACTTGCATGGGCTGTAATGGATATAATTGTTTCAGGGTCTGAATAACAGACTACTTCATCACCATCTTAGCTGGAATATTGCTGAGTGTGCCATTAAACAGTACACACACAAACAAACTTAAAGGTACAATTTTCTCATCAAATTCCATACATTAAACAATTCATGACACTGTTTGCATTCAATATTAAATAATCCTTCATTTCTTATGCCATTCTTTACAAAAATGGCAAATATTTATATCTAAATCTTAAACACTGACAAATGAATCAGCTTTGTTGGGCAAAGGGAGCAGTATTAGCCAGATATTAATGATACTGACAGAAGTAGTCATAAAAGGACCTATGGCTTCTCCACGCATACTGCTCATTATGTTTTAAACACTGGGGGGCATGGGGGCCGAGTGTTCTGAGGCGTTGTGATTCACTGGGCAGAGTTGCATCATTGCCTGATATCATTTCTTGTTCTTTCAGCACTATAATAATTGGGTTTTACCAGAGTGGAAAATATACAAGGTCAGTATTAGAACTGGCTTTCATTCTGCACCAATCTGCCATGCCATATGCTACGCCAGGCCATGCCATGCCACGCCATGCCACGCCTCACCACACCAGTATATGGTTTCTGAATATACTACTCATAAGAAGTGGCATGACAAGTTAACTATTGTAACATTAACATGAAACAATTGGGTGTTCTTTAACTTCTTTGAGTAGTATAGATTCTTTTGCATTCTTAATGTGGGTGAAGAGCAATACAGGATTCGAATGTCTTTCCATACAGGTTTTTCCCAGGTTTCCAATATTATGTTACATATACCATTTTATTTTATGGGGGTTGATTTCCTTCCACGCAATTATTTGTTAAAATAGCCTGACATTTCCCCCTCTCCAAAAAAAGAAACTTTTTGTGTGAAATATTTGTTTCTCAAAGTCAGGATTTCATATTTCAGAGGAATACTTACTGAATATAACTGAAATTTAATTCACATCTATTTCTCATCAAAAATTCAAACTTCATACACACACCATTGTGAAAAATTGATATTTTTGTCGGTGGACTAAGATAAGTTTGATTAATTTTATATTTTTATCTGGATCAATATGGAAACTACTTTTTTATGTATGTTGTGTCAAATTTTCATTCAGTATTCTATGAAATTGTTTTTCTTACTTCTACATCAAAGGAAACATAATTGTGTTTATTTGAATAATGCTTATGTGTTTTCACAGAAAGACATAAAACTATGTACTTCACTAACACAAAACTCTGACATTCATTCATGCATATAGGCTATCAACTCAGTTTGAAATATATACACCAAATGTTCCTGTTTAATGTAAATACTATCATTACAGACAATCAAAAATAGACATCAAATTCTCCATGTAACTGGGACGGTTGGGTAGCCTATTGGTTAAAGCGTTGGCTCGTAACACCGAAGACCCAGGTTCGAATCCCCACATGGGTACAATGTGTGAAGCCCTTTTTCTGTTGTCCCCCACTGTGAAAGTGCTGGAATATTGCTAACAGTGGCGTAAAAGCATACTCACTCACTCAATGTTACAAGGAGTAAGTCAAACTGTTTTGTTTGATTGTTGTTTAATGCTGCACTCAGGATCTATTTGGACTCCTACAGCATTATGGTAAGACTGTCGCTGACAACATTCCGTCTCCACCTCAACAATTAAAATATCTCTCTCATAAGTTGAGTAGAATATTGGAAAATACCTTTTATATGGAATTCCCAGGCGTATGATGAATTGTAACTCAAATATATGCCATCAGGGACCGTTGTACAAAGTGATCTTAGCGCTAAGGTGGCATAGAAAATACAAATATGACAGTCATAGCGCTAAGGTTGTTTTGTACAATGGCACCAAGCAACTAAATGGAGTAGACAATGATTTCACCACTCACAGGTCTTCTGCCTTTCACCACAATGGCATAGCACATGGGACAATGTGCCCGCTAGTAATAACTAAGGTGAGGTGAAATTGAGTTTAACGTCGCATCCAAGATTATTGCGCTTATATAGCGACGTGCATGCATGTGTGTGTGTGTGTGTGGCTGCTTGTAATAGTCCGGACTGATACCGATTTATAGTACTAGCTCACTGAGATACCCCACTCAGACACAGTATACTGACTCCGAGCCGACCAGTCCTTGTTTTAGCCCTTTAATGTCAAGCGCCAGACAGGGTAACAACAAGTACCATCTTTTAACGTCTTTTGGTATGACGCGGACGGGGACCGAACCCCGGACCTTCCGCTTCCCGGGCGGATGCTCTACCACTAGACCATGGAGGTGGTCCAGTAATAACTAAGACCCAGGCTTGAATATCTCACTGATAGAACCCCAGACTTGGAGGCATGATAAGAGACTCTTTGCCTTTCACCAGTTTTAGATCGGGTGATATGCTTCTACAAAGTGTCTTTTCGCGAGCATCTGGTGTTATCACTATCTGATACGGAATCATGAATACATGCTCATGATATGGTCAGAACAACAATCAACTCTGTTTGGGCAAAGAATTCTTATGAATATGGAAAGTAGGGCTGGGATGGGTAGCTCGGGGTCGGGTGGGTGATGGTGATGGTGATGGAAGAAAGGGGATCAGGTGGCCACAATGGCTCAAGTGTGAAAATAAGAGCTAGACCACATTTGACATCTTTTGACATGACGTGGCCATGGGATTGAACCACCGACCTTCTGCTCTCCAGGCACATGCCCTTATGATCCAAGACACAATGGAGACGGTCACATATTTATGAATTAGTCTCCGAAATTCACCATTTGATACATTGACATAGGTGAGTGAGTGAGTGAGGGAAGGAGGGAGGGAATTTTAGCTTAGTACTGGAGGAAAACGAAATGATGCAAATATTAAAAATATAAAAATTGGGTTTTTTGTTTGTATGTTGTTTAACGCAGCACTCGGCAACATTACAACTTTTATGGCAAGCATGGGTTGCTGAATAGGACCTGGGTACCCACAGGACTACCCGGGCCCGTGGTTAGTCACATGCATGATATATTGTTTAGTTACCAAATTATCTAAAACTCCATGGTTACACTATAAGTGACTCCTGTTCACTGTTCACTGACTATGCATGCATTCCTTATGTGTTTAAATAAAGATAAAACATTAGTCAACTTCAGTGTATGCAAGACCAGATCGATTTATACATGAATCAACATACCTCTTGCCAGGGTACAGTCAAACTATTCCCTCTCGAGACCTACAGCGGGTGCCTGGGTAGGGTCAGGTAATAGCAAGGTGGGTACCCGGGTAGTAAATTGGGAATCGTCCAAGCTGTAATGAAAAGGATTTCGTTACTTTTTCTTACAGATCTGCTGATCCTCAAGAAATTAACATAGGGATAAAAACCCAAAAAAAATATTTCTCTATTCAGCTGAACGCAAACTTATATGTTGACAAAAAAGAATGGTCTATAATATGGTAAACTGCAAGAGTAATGAGACAACTTGAAAAATATAACTTGACATGACTCTTTGAAGAACAGAAAAAACAATCTCAAAAGGCTTTATTTGTTTCCCACCTACAAACAAGTATTTGACAGGAAAAAATCTGTAAAGAAATAAATAAAAGCAAGTCTGACATCAGCTTTAACCTACTCAAACAAAAAGTGCTTACTTCAAGACCTTCACGTCATCTTGACTCAGCTAGAACATCCATCTTAAACACTTAAAGGACAGACTATTTTATTTGATATTCTCGGAAATGGGGGTTGGGTGGAGGGGAAGAGAGGGAATGCTGTCATTTACCAAAATAAATTGTTCCAGAAAAACAAAATATATAACTTCTCATCAAGAATTTACAACAATAAAAATGTTTGATGGTGTTGTTAAAAAGAATTAAAATTGTTTGGTTTCAAACACTACAGCCCTACAACCCTACAGCCCTACAGCCCTACAGCTCTACAACCCTACAGCCCTACAACCCTACAGCCCTACAGCCCTACAACCCTACAGCCCTACAACCCTACAGACCTACAACCCTACAATCCTACAGCCCTACAATCCTACAGCCCTACAATCCTACAACCCTACAGCCCTACAGCCCTACAGCCCTACAACCCTACAGCCCTACAACCCTACAACCCTACAGCCCTACAACCCTACAACCCTACCACCCTACAGCCCTACAGCCCTACAACCCTACAGCCCTACAACCCTACAGCCCTACAACCCTACAATCCTACAGCCCTACAGCCCTACAACCCTACAACACTACAATCCTACAACCCTACAACACTACAGCCCTACAACCCTACAACACTACAACCCAGAGTAAAGCATGACAGTAAAGAATAAAAGTAAAGCATTACTGCAGTAAACAACTAATAAAAGGTTGATCCCCTACAATTAGCTATGGGAAATCCAGTGAGCATAACCAGATCAAGTGCCTATTGTACAAGTTATTGTTAAACGGCATGACAGGACAAAACTCAATTTAAGGACAGGAATCTCTATTGAATTAAATCACCCACAAATATGATTTAATAAATCATTTGTCAGACCAAATTCTATGAACACATTATAGAGACACTGTTCCTGGGAAAATGTACACACAAAATCTGACCTTCATACTCCGTGGAATAGTCAATTACGTTGTAACATTATAGAAGGCATTCAATTTGAAAGGTAGATTGACATGAATGAAAAATGAATGGGAGTTTGTGCTGCAATCTCATTGGTTGAAAACATTGTTAAATGATATTGGATTACAGAAATCTTTTGAATTTTTAACAGCGGATGAATACTTTTTGATGTCTTTTTATCTTTTTATTTTTTTCCGTCGCAAATAACACTATCAGTTCCAAATGAAATGTCCTGTCATCAAATACTCGATACCACATACAAATTTGGAGACATATAATGTTATCTCCTTAATGTAAGACAAGAATCTGAAACCCAATTCCCAAGGAAAAGCTTCAGGCCACGTGGCCGCTGAGAAAACTCACATAAGTTCTGGCTGCGTGCGCAGCCAGCCCGACCAGAAGTTAAACTTATGTTCCTACGCAACATATATCCTTTATCTTTTTATCTTTTTTTCCCCCCCCCGTCAGAAATAATGCTATCAGTTCCAAATTAAATGTCCTGTCATCGAATACTCATCACCACCTACAAATCTGAAGACATATAATGTTAATTGTCTCCTTAATGTAAGACAAGAATCTTTCAAAGATAAGTGAGAGTTTGAGTTTAATTCTGCTTTGAAAAAACACCATACAGTGCATGAGAGGTGAGGTGAGGTAAGATGGTGTTTAACGTTATGTTCAAGATTATTGCACTTATATAGCGACGTGCATGCATGTGTGTGTGTATGTCTGCTTGTACTGGTCTGGAATAATGCCAATCTTATACTGCTAGCCCATTGAGATACCATGTTGCAGTTTAACATGAATTCCCAACTCAGACACAGTATACTGACTCCGAGCCAACCAGTCTTTGTTTTAACCCCTTAATGTCAAGCGCCAGACAGGGTAACAACAAGTACCATGCTTTAACGTTATCCTGAAGCCGATCCGACCAGTCCATGTTTCATCCCTTACAGCATCTTTTAACATTTTATTGTAGGACATGTACAGGGATCGAACCCCGACCTTCCGCTCTCCAGGTGGATGCTCTCCCACTTGACCACAGAGGCGGTCCACAGCATGAGAGAGGAAAGCTCAAAACAATTAGTTTTTTACAACATGAAGAATGTCACATGGGCAACAGGTGGCATCTGACTTAAGGCCTGTTTAAAACATTATCAATGTCTACGGAACACGTTTTTTTATAAAAAGATAATATCTCTACAACATTTTGTAAGTTTTTTTATAATGACAGATTAAATGACGGGTGCAATCAGGAAATTTAATAGTATATTTTTAACACAAATTGCATGTAATATGCAGGTTTCCCACATCAGAGGAAACACTGGACAGAAGAGTGCAAATGACAGATACAATGCACAATTATTTCCTTAATATATGCTTCACTAGACTATGACCAGCAGTGCCATGATTGCATGCAAATTATGGTTTACAATAAATCTGGAAAATATATATCAGTGAATTCTATGACCGGTCCTGCCTTGATTACATGCCAATTAAATATATAAATAAAGCCTACAAAAATGTTTCACATTTAGTATTAAAGTATCAAGCAGTGAATTCTCTGATATACTTGCCATCACTACATGCTAATTGTTATATACCACCCAAAAGAACTTAAAGAACACCTGATTTTTTCATATGACAAAATCTAATTTGCCATGAGTGTTCTTTAACTTCTTTTGAGTAGTATACAATAAAGGCTGGACAAGTATGTATAACAGACTACTATTAAACTAATAAGTATTAAATTTTTGGACAAGTTATGTTATCATCTAATAAACTTACACAATAAAGCTCGGGAAAATTTGTTACAGAATACTGTTAAAATAATTGGTAGTGATTTTTTTAATTCTCTGACCAGTGGTGCCATCATTACATGATAGATATCTTTCCAATAACTCCTGTAAAAAATGTATTTTTAAAAGAGCCAACTACTATGAAATAATTAGCAGTGAATATTTGGAAATGTTTTTTCAGGCTCTGTAGCTCACCTTTACTAACTGTGAACCATCAATATTTCATAAACTGATTGATACAATTTCAAATGATTTGCTAATTTTTGATAAGGCAAACAGCCATTAATCAATTAATAACTTATCCATCATTACATCAAAGTGATATTAATATCATCTTGAAGTAATAGACTTCGAAGTAGTGGTCAAAGTTACTTTTTCAATAAAGTGGTTCTGGGTACTGTGTTTAAAATTAGATCAGGATTCCTGTGAGTGTTTCATGATAACAAGTGAGAACATATTTTTTAGCATCATTCAGTTGAGCTTCAGTCGGCTCCTTCATCAGTTGTGTTGAAAAAAACCAGTTCAGATCTGGAATAAACATAAAATGATAAATGCAATACAGAGTTACCCTGTTTGTTCAGATCCTGCCTATCTGGAACTTCTTAGTCTGTACTCTGCTAGTTCGGCCTGTTAGTTCGGCCTGTTAGTCGGGAAACTGTTAGTCTGCTGTCGGTTAGTCTGATGCATGTTAGTCGGGAGCCTGTTAGTCTGGAGCCTGTTAGTCTGGAGCCTGTAAGTCTGGAGCCTGTTAGTCTGGAGCCTGTAAGTCTGGAGCCTGTTAGTCTGGAGCCTGTTAGTCTGGAGCCTGTTAGTCTGGAGCCTGGAAGTCTGGTGCCTGTTAGTCTGGAGCCTGTTAGTCTGGAGCCTGTTAGTCTGGTGCCTGTAAGTCTGGTGCCTGTTTGTCTGGAGCGTGTTAGTCTGGTGCCTGTTTGTCTGGAGCCTGTTAGTCTGGTGCCTGTTTGTCTGGAGCGTGTTAGTCTGGTGCCTGGAAGTCTGGTGCCTGTTAGTCTGGTGCCTGTTAGTCTGGAGCCTGTAAGTCTGGTGCCTGTTTGTCTGGAGCGTGTTAGTCTGGTGCCTGGAAGTCTGGTGCCTGTTAGTCTGGAGCGTGTTAGTCTGGAGCCTGTTAGTCTGGAGCCTGTTAGTCTGGAGCCTGTTAGTCTGGTGCCTGTAAGTCTGGTGCCTGTTTGTCTGGAGCGTGTTAGTCTGGTGCCTGGAAGTCTGGTGCCTGTTAGTCTGGAGCCTGTTAGTCTGGTGCCTGTTTGTCTGTAGCGTGTTAGTCTGGTGCCTGGAAGTCTGGTGCCTGTTAGTCTGGAGCCTGTAAGTCTGGTGCCTGTTTGTCTGGAGCGTGTTAGTCTGGTGCCTGGAAGTCTGGTGCCTGTTAGTCTGGAGCCTGTTAGTCTGGAGCCTGTTAGTCTGGAGCCTGTTAGTCTGGAGCGTGTTAGTCTGGAGCGTGTTAGTCTGGTGCCTGTAAGTCTGGTGCCTGTTAGTCTGGAACCTGTTAGCCTGGAACCTGTTTGTATGACACTTGTTAGTCTGGAACTTGTTAGTATGGTGCTTGGCAGTCTGGAACCTGTTAGTCTGATGACTGTTAGTCTGGAGCCTGTGAGTTTGATGCCTGTTAGTCTGATGCTTGTTAGTCTGATGCTTGTTAGTCTGGTGCCTGTTAGTCTTGAACCTGTTAGTCTGACACATGTTTGTTTGGAACCTGTTAGTCTGGTGCCTGTTAGTATGGAACCTGTTAGCCTGGAACCCATTAGTCTGACACATGTTAGTCGGGAACCTGTTACTCTGGTGGCTGTTAGTCTTCAACCTGTTAGCCTGGAACCCATTAGTGAGTGAGTGAGTGAGTATGGTTTTACGCCGCTTTTAGCAATATTCCAGCAATATCACGGCGGGGGGACACCAGAAATGGGCTTCACACATTGTACCCATGTCGGAATCGAACCCGGGTCTTCGGCGTGACTGGAACCCATTAGTGTGACACATGTTAGTCTGGAACCTGTTAGCCTGGAACCCGTTAGTCTGACACACATTAGTCTGGTGCCTGTTAGCCTGGAACCTGTTACTCTGACACCTGTTAGTCTGGAACCTGTTAGTCCGGTGCCTGTTAGTATGGGGTCTGTTATTCTGGAACCTGTTAGCCTGGTGCCTGTTACTCTGACACCTGTTAGTCTGGAACCTGTTAGTCTGGTGCCTGTTAATCTGGAACATGTTAGCCTGGTACCTGTTAGTCTGACACATATTAGTCTGGAACCTGTTAGTCTGGTGCCTGTTAGCCTGGAACTTGTTAGTCTGGAACCTGTTAGTCCAGTGCCTGTTAGTATGGGGTCTGTTAGTCTGGAACCTGTCAGTATTGTGTCTGTTAGTCTGGAACCGGTTAGTCTGACACCTGTTAGTCTGATGCCTGTTAGTCTGGAACCTGTTAGTCTGACACATGTTAGTCTAGTCCATATTAGTCCCGAAACAGCTTTCCAAACAATAACTGTCAGTAAGATCAATATAGAATCAAATATACATCACATGGCATACAATTAGGAACAGATGAAGTCTCAGCGCTGGCCCCGTTATTACTGACCAATATGGTTTATTATTAAACTTGATATATATCTGCATATGACTTGTCTACAGTCTGAATATAACTGATATATCCATCCAAAGTTATTGAAGATATATTCAGGACACCAAACTCTGTATGTATGTATTTTATTCACTGTCATGTGACTTTTGGCCTGGATGATATTGACATATTTGGATGTTAAATAAACTTGATCTGTTTACATACAACTTGTCTTCAAAATTGCATTGGGTTGAATTCCTTCAATATTTATAATATTTGTCATTTATAATCTCATAATGTGACCATTAATCTAATTAATATTGACCAGTTTGGCTGATTATTAAGCTCCATCAATGC